CCTCGTGGCAGTACAGTAACAGTACGGTAGCGGTATCTTGTGCGGGTATCGCACGCTTGTCTATCTGGGTAGTGATATATTGGAGCGAGTCATTGAGGAAAGAGTATCCCGATTCCTAAGGCCGGTATTCATAGTCGGTTCTTATTTTAAGACCGTCTTAAGTAATGTCTTAAGTCGCTAATAAGGCCTTCGGATTGGTTCATGACATCTTAAGACTGTACTTAAGACGGTCTTAAATATAAGATCCGACTATGAATACCGGCCTAAGTGTCAGTGATGCAAAGATTGTACTGTTTTTTTTTTTTTTTTGATTTGTTGAATGTTGTTTTACATAAGTAGGAAAGAGTTAGAACAAGTATTTGCCTACCTTTCTTTGCCAGGCTGCAGTTTTCTATAATTTAATATAGAGAAAGCGTGTTCCAGTATAAATATATTAGAACTCACTGCCTATCAAGGTAGATTGTAATTTGTATACATGTGTATGTCTATGTGTGTGTATATGTGTATAACTCTAAAAGTCTGTGATATTTCTTCCAACAGTTACTAATCCACAATATAAAAACACAAAATAAACTCTTTAAAAATATATAAATACAAGAAATATTATGCTTGAAACGGTTGTTATCTCTAGTCCTAAATGTGAAAAAATTTGTGTATGTACCCAGTGTTGTCAGACGGGCCGGATTTCTGACGCATGCGCGTCCAATGTAGCTTCAGTAACGTACCGAGTCGCCTATGTAAAATTTTTTCAAAAATGTTGAAAATTTTAATATATTTTACATATTTTACATATGTATACATATATATAAATATATATAATATATTCTATATATGTTTACATATGTAAAATATATTAAATTTTTCAATATTTTTGAAAAAATTTTACATGGGCGATTAATGATCTCCTATTTACTAGTGATCGGTACGTTACTGAAGCTACATTGGACGAGCGTGCGTCAGAAATTTGGCCCGTCTAACAACACTGTACACGTGTTATATGATAAGTGCCTATAGTTCTGTGCCTCTTGCGTATCGTGCTTATCATGTTTATCACTTGTAGCAGTGGAGAATACGTAATTGCACGTCTTAATTCAAATGAAAACACAAATCAACGGAACATTGACCATATCAGACTAAGAAAGGTGTCTGGGACCTGGGACGGCCGATAAAACGAAGAAAAGAAAACAAATCAACAGGGATATTGTTGGATGTGTACGATAATCACGGCCTGCTGGTTTGATATAGTTTTCGTATAAGTTTATCCAAGTTTTCTCCCGAAGTCATGGATCTTCGTTTCCCAGAGTTCAATTCGAAAGACGCAATCCAAAGTAATTATAATTGATGCTATTAATAATTCTCTGATTCTACTTATATTATTTCATGCAAGCATCTCTATATATTACTTTTTTGTACAATATATATGTGTGTATGTACGTGTAAATAATAAGAATTATATATATAAAATTATAATATATTGTATATTATATAAATATTAATATATTATATTTTTTTCAATTTTATTTTTTAGCCTGGATAACAAGCTTGGAGGCATACATTAATGAACCAGCATTAAACAAATGTGTTCGACAAATATCTTATTTAGCAACCACAATAACAGAAGACAATAAAGTTGCTTGGTTACTAAAGGCAATAAGTTTCCTTGATTTAACTACTTTGAATAACGACGATACAAGTAGCACTATACAACAATTGTGTGAAAATGTAAATTGGAACATGGAGTTATTATTCTTTACTTTAATGTGAATATAATATCTATAATTGATCAATTAATTAATATTACAGGCTGCAAACCCTATAAAGGAGCTTCCGTTTCAATGGAATAAACCACTTCATACTGCTGCCGTTTGTGTTTATCCATCCAAAATAAAAGATGCGATAACTACCTTAAAGAGATTGAAGAAAACGAATGTAATTAAGGTCGCTAGTGGTAGGAAACAAAACATTTCTTCTGATCTGATATGAATGCAACAATATTATCTAATATATTTTTTGCATTAGTGGCAGCAGGATTTCCTTCTGGACTATTTCCATTGGAGACTCGATTGCAGGAAGTGCGCTGCGCAATAGAATATGGAGCACAGGAAATAGATGTTGTGATCGATCGATCGTTAGTTTTAAATCATCAATGGATGATGCTGTTTCAAGAATTGTTATGTATTCGTGCACTTTGTCCTAAGAATGAGGAAAGGACAGTATGTTTAAAAGTTATAATATCATCAGGAGAATTGTTCAATTTGAGAGATGTATATAAGGCATCCATGGTAGCTCTATTTGCTGGTGCTGATTTCATCAAGACATCTACAGGGAAAGATGCAATTAATGCGACTTTGCAAGCGGGAATTGTTATGTGTAGAGCGATAAAAGAGTTTGAAAGAGTGGCTGGAATAAAGGTATATAGCAATTTAATTATTTGTGATAATCGAGATCTGTATAATATAGCTTTAATTCATTTTCACAGACTGGCTTTAAACCTGCCGGAGGAATTAAAACTGCGCAAGACGCTTTAGAATGGATGGTCTGTATTAAGGAAGAATTAGGGAATGATTGGTTGACAAGCGATCGTTTCAGAATCGGTGCATCAAGTTTATTGCAAAATATTAGTACTGAAATTATCCAAACATATAAAAACAAGCCAATTCAACGACCACTGGAAGATCTTGAAAACCAGATATATGAAAGAGAAAATAAAGCTGATGTAGATAATAAAGATAAAAAAGATGAAGGAGATAATAAAGATGAAGGAGAAAATAAAGAGACTTAATTAATTGAATTTAGATAAGACTGATAAAATATTTTTATATTCGTTTTTATATTCGTAATTTCGGTCACATATATTCGAAAATAATTTGTACGTATTCATAAATGTGAATAAATTTATTTTCATGATGCTCCAAGAGTTAACTGATTAAAAAATTCATCCGAAGCGCTAAAATCAATACACACACACACACTCTCTCTCTCTCTCTCTCTCTCTCTCTCTCTCTCTCTCTCTCTCTCTCCCCCCCCTCTCTGTGCGTGCGTGTGTGTGTGTGTGTGCGCGCGCGCGCGCACACACACACACAATAATGAGATTTAGGATCATATTTTCCTGGGAATTATCGAGACCGATATGGAGGTCTATTTCTCTCAGTTTCGTTTGAATTGTAAGGGGGAGTAAAAAATGATCTTTATCACAATCTCTTATCTTTCACACTACGTCATGAAACATATAAGTAGTACAGAATACGTCAGAAAGCGATATCGCGACGCCCATGCGTCTAAATATATCAATCAGTAAATAGATCCTACATAATTGACATACTTGGTACACATAATGTTGCGAACACGTAAATACACAAAGTGTCTCGTTAAAATCATCTCGATTTCATTTTCTCTAGCTGATATGACACATGATCAAGATGTGAAAATTACACAGATAATCATAAAGTGTTTAAATTTGAGAGAATTTACTAGGAATTGAATACTTGAATGTTCACGTGCGTTACCATTATAAGAAATATTTTATATCAAAACGTATCAAAATGCAGTATAACTAATTCATGCGTAAAATGCATAAAAAACGAGAAAAATCATGGCGTAGCGAATACAGTTTCTCTCTAGACTTTATCTTAAACGTCTCTTAAAAATTGAGCATCCTTGAAAAACAGTGGCTTAATTTTCCACCGTTAAAAGTTTTACTTTTCAGAGTACGATTCATTTAAAAAATTAAGAGAGTTTTTTTTCAAAGAAATATTCAATTTAAGTATAAACAGTAATTCGCAAATAAAGATTCAATTTATTCATCTAAAGTTTCAATTTATTCAATAAATCCATAAATATTCAAATTCCCTACAAAATATCCCGACATTATATAGTCATATTTTTATTATTTAAGATTTATATTTTTCTTATCGTCTCAAAATATATGTGAAGTTCATTTTTGAGCATAAAGATTTTTTTTGCAATACAATTGAGAATAGAAGATATTTCGATTACATATAAATTCTTTCTCTTTCGGGAGCATTATTCCATTTAGGATCCACTCGGATCCGCAGATTCGTCCGGACGGAGGCGGGCGTAATTCGCCACCGGAAATCGAGGCTCAAATCCAATATAGATCGATCAGTAAATAGACCTCGAGCCGGCGCGAGATCGCGCGGCCGCGTCATCGGGTGCTCGTGCCCCTCGGTGTAGTATTTGCAGCTTGCAAGCTCCGGTGCGTCTTGCCCTCTGGCAAAGCTTGTCGTGACACCGTTTCAGCCGCATTGCGCCGGGTAACGGCCGGGGCCCGGCCCGTCCTTCCGTCACCGTCGGCTTTATTCCGCACTAGTCGCACGGCTCGCCCGGCTCCAGCGGTCGTTTCGCGCGTCTCGGCCGTGTCATGCACCAGCGAATGGGGTGAGTCCCCCGGATCGCGCGGTACATTCTCGCGCGATCCACGCGGCACGCGTTGCATCCGATCGAGTAGCCATCCCCCCGACTCGCCTTGGATAACTTGTACCAGATAAGCTCGGCTCGCCGCTTCTCGGCAAGTAATATACACGACACCACCGAGCGGGATATATCGCACCATCGGCATACAAGACCACCTCGTCATACACTCTATATTCGGATACCGCCGCTTCCGCGTCGGCATAGCGCGGATTTGCGGCGAGGCGCGGCGAGACGCGCACGGGAGTAAAACGGAAGGAGAGATTGCGATGTTGATCCGTTGGAATTATGCCACTTTTTATTCGGAACTTAAACTACTCTTTGAAACTTTTAGAGTGAATCTTACTCTGAAGAGCGAAAGTTAACTCTTCGAGACTGAAAATTGAGCTACTTTTTCAACACTAGTTCAATTTTTATTTTTTAGAATAAGGTTCCACTAAAAAAAATTTAGAGAGTATATAATTCGTTGTATACAAAAGTTGAATTGCAGCTGCAAATGAATTGAAAGTCGAATACTTCTGGCGAATCGTGTACGTATAACAAAAATTGTGAACTACTCGATGAAGGAAATCGATTTTTCCGCTGTGAATTCTAAATTTTTTTTAGAATGGAATCTACTTACTCTAAAGATTGAAAATTGTGCCAGTCTTGAATAAGAGTGAACTTAATTATCAATCCTTAGGAGTAAGATTTCACTTTACAGAGATTCACTCTAAAAATTTTAAAAGATGCTTACGTATTATTGCAGATAAATCGAAATTTGAATCGAGATCACAACAATTTCGATTATATTGCACAAAACTCCAGCACTTGCTGGATCTATTATCGCGATTTCACTTGATGTTTTGAAAGAAGGAAAGATACGTTATGCAAATTAAACTTTGATTTTATTTCAGTCATATTGACTTGGTAATTATAACAAAGTTAAAAAGATGTATCATCAATCATTTGATGACATTTAATTTCGTCATACATGTTGCTCGCTTGCCAAATAAAACCTATTTGCCGGCTTGAATTCTATTTAAGAGTTATGATTATATTTTTAGACATATCTTACCTTGGCACTTCGCGTAACACGGAATCGTTGACCCCTCTCTAAATGACGCATATTTTTATCACTCATCAAGATATACATATAGAATTATTTGCTTCCTCGGTCGCATTTGTAAACTACATTAAAATAGCACTGGAATTTGCAAAAAGCCCGTATCCGACTTTCGTGTTGCCGTATCATTATTACGTAACATTTAGGATTCTGCAAAAAGAAAGTGTTGTATTATATATATAAATTTCATTGACTTTATCATCTTGTAAAAATGAGTCTATTAGATATAATTTCAGATGTAGAGCGTCATGGCAATCAATATAAAATTTACAAAATTTGACAACACACCATGGGGCTTTCGACTAGCTGGTGGCAACGATTTTCCGCAGCCACTTACTGTTATCAGAGTGAGTTTCATAGTTTCCTTATTTAATGGTTATTAATATTAATATGAACGTTAAAATCACAAAATTATAATTCAAGTAACATTAATTCTTACCGTACTATGTACAATTTGGTGCCTCATCCATAGATATTATCAAGGACCATAGAATCTCTTCGTTTTTTCACCTCTTCAAAATAATTCAAAAAATCTCTAAAAGTTCATCAACATACTTTCAACTTTCTAGAATAAATATTGACTGTTTATTTTGGAAAATAATAAAATGTGTAGTATAATTTATAATTACCGAAAGACTCAAAGAAACTTGCACGAACAGGAATCGCTCGGTCACTATAATATAGTTACCCATATTAGTACGGTAAGGGTTAATTATTTTCATATTCTGAACACGAAATACATAAATATAGGATGTGACGGTTCTTATTTCAATCGTAACAATTTAATTATTTAAAATATCATTGTTTTGATTAGTGTCTCAGTAATTAAATCTTAAAGGTTAAAAGAAAAATAGGATAAAATTAAGATTGAGAAAATCGTAATCTACAGGTCACGGAGGGAAGCCTGGGCGAATGTATGGGTTTAAAGGTCGGAGATGTCGTAGTAAGATTGAACGATCAATCGATTATCAACTTGACTCACGGACAAGCGCATGAAGCACTAGTGCACGCTGGCAACAATTTCGTTTTAGGTGTACAAAGGTAAGTCTCTCGCAAGGATCATCGATTATGCGCGAGCATAAGGAAGATTAATCATATTGGCATCTTTTATACAATTTTTTTTCTTTCAAATAATATAGGAAAATCAGGCAAATAAGAGTGCAGTGCGATACTTAAAGTGCGTTCGGGGAGACGCTATTAGCGCTATTTGTGTCATTCTATCTTTGTTTTACATCTAATAAACAACGAAGATAGAATAACAGAAGTAGCGTTAATAGCGTCTCCCCGAACGCATCATTAGTGCACAAACATTAATATGTAGATCAATTGTATTTAACTTGCTTTACATCCAATTCGAACGATGATCAATACTTGGGGTCGTCATCATCAGCGAGATAACAAAGAAAAAAAGAGTTTCCACAGGAAGATGAAAACTCTATAGGGTAATTCCGGTATATACGCCGCACCTATCAAAAACTTAATTTATTAAGTATTATTTACTACGTTTAAAATAAACGAACTATATCAGTAAAAACTTTGTACCGTCTACTACTATGAAAAAAATATTAGAAATCCGAAATATTTCGTATTAGAAAAGAAACTTTTTGAAATCTTGCATTTTTGCTATATATAGATAATGGGTGGGATATATGGCAAAAATGCAAAGGTTTCAACAAACTAAACGAAGAATACGAAAGCAAAGCACTTGTATTTTGCTATACAACATGCTTTACTATTCCTCTACACGTATGTATCATGAAATAACCACTAGGTCTTTGACACGCCTTACAGTAATCATTTTATGTAGATTATAATTTATGATGATGCTACTTGTTACACACACAGTGACAAATCGATTCAACTCACAATAATTTCATTAATATTAACAAGAAGCTGAAATTATAACTCAATGCTAATATAACATAAAGGCATGTAACAGAGTAATTGCGAGAAAATTATCCTCACTCCTTCTATTTTTTCTGACTTCCGCGGCGTAAATCCCAGTGCGGCGTATATACCGGAGCTACCCTATTTTATTTCCTATATTATTTCAATTTCAAAAGTAATTCATAACTCGAATTTTTTGTTTTCTCTTTAAAACGTACTCTGAGCATAATTGTAAATGTATGTGTTTATATAGGATGTTCTTGTAACTCGGAAAAGCTGGAAAAATAGACATTCTTGACTTCTTAAATTACATCATTTAAAATCTTAATTGATAAATTCCTTCAAATGTTTTCATTTGTTTTATTCATTAGAGATTACTAGATAAAAAAATCATTTTAGATTGCTATTAAAAAGTACAGATTAATTAAATTCATGCATACATATACATAATGTTTACACTGGATAATAACAAAACAGGAAATGGAGATAAATTACACTCGATTGCGTCGGTTGCACCGCGGCCAAGACGAATAAGCGGGTACATAAATGCAACAGCTAAGTCGAATGCGACTCGCATAAATTAGGCTCTTGTCCCATACGGTCTCTCCCGGGAGAAATCGCTCTTAACCAATATTAGTTCTTGAGATTATTGATAGTGAAATTGCGCCACGTGTCGAAACAGCGACAAAATATTTTCGATATTAATGCGCAATTTATTACCGAGTCTCGATCTATTTTTTCTTGCTGCTGCAAGAAATTTTTAATATCTAATAAAGCATATTATACATATAAATAAAAAATGCAAAATAAAATATACGAGGAAGATAAATAAAATATTCAAAATATATTTATGTATATGAAGATGCCTTTCCGAGTCAAACACTGGTAGTTCGTGTGTAAATGAATTTATTCGATAATTTTGTTACCAAACGTTTCGATCCTCGCTTCGGATCCTTATCAATGTATACAATTCGACAACATATCATTTAAAATATATTATCAATCCTTAAATATTATTTTTTGGCTGATATGGTAGTAATGCAATAGAATGATATGGGGACATTCAAAAGTATGGAAGAATAACCGAGGCTAGCGAATTTTTTCGATCGTCTTACATCGTTACCGAAATCGAATTTAATTTCGAAGCATGATAGCCAAAGGTCGTAATCAAATTTAATGAGTCCCTCGATCTCGTGTCTAATGAAGAAGAACGGGCGGTACGCGTCATTCATCGCCGGCATACTCTCGATAATAACTTCGGCGACGCGCTGCAAGAATATCCCGGCGTATGAGCTACGTGTGTAGCAATGTATTGCGAAACCTATAAATAGGTGACCCAGAATGAGAGATCTGTTTATCATTGGTCGGCGATTTTATTACTGGGTCCCCGGTCGCGGCCCGTCTTTTGCCGTTTGTCGCATTCGCGGGATATCCGTTACTCGCGCGCAGGGTAGAACGTGAGAGCGAGAGATCGACACCTGGAATCCGCGCACGCGGTGCATATTCAGCGTATAATTGCATCCGCGCGCATAATACCAGCCGATCTCATTGCGAGCGGGAGAAAGTCTATTTTCTTGGTCGCTGTTTGTTGCTTGCGCAGAGAGGAGGAGGCACGAAAGGCCGCCGAAGCGATATCGGAAGAGACCATCGTCCCATATAAGATCGCCGTGAGTATATTCGTGAGATGAAAGGTAAACAGCATCCCTGTTGCACTCTTAACTGGTGACGAGGGCTACGCGACGTCCCCATCTTCTTCCCGAGGCACATCCGGCTCTTGCCCGTGTACTTTCTCACGTTCGCGAAACTTTGAACATTTTTTACATGAGTTCCTGTATAAAAAGAAAAATTGATTCTGTCTGAATGATTTTAAAAACGTATGTGAGAAGAAAATAAGTGTTCACCAGATAAGAGTTAAAAGAACCTGTTACACTGGAAAAAGAGATGGTTGCGTTAATTGGAATTCTGGTTAAAAATGGAAATCAAAATAGTTGCATTTGTTACCATTCTAGTCGAGATAACCAGAATTCTGATTAATATGATTAGAATTTTCTGATTTGTTTCAACTATAAATTTTTCTATTATTAGTATGGTTATATATATATTTTCCTATTTTAACAAATGTTTAAAATTCATGTAATAGCAGATATATTTTTATAGAGTTTAAAAAAAATTTTATATTATATCATAAAAAGTTGTTTTATTATGATTCCTAGAATATCTAACTTAATTATGATGAATTAAGTGTACTTTTTTTAACATTATACTTGTAACAGCATGATTCCTACTTGCTTCCTACCTACGAAAAAAATATTGCGATATTTATCACCGAAAGTTAAACCTCGCCTTTCAACGGGGAAAATCTGTGATCTTAAATCCGCTTGACATTTAAAGAGAGATATGGTGTACCAGAGAAAGTGGCGACGAGATGATGACGTCGAGTTTGCTTATTAGCTTGCAGACTTACTGCCAGTCTTCCCAGAACAGATCTTAAAAGAAGAGACAGTGATCGAGCGATACGAAGAAGAGAATACCGTCGTCGAGCCGTTGTCCGCTGAGGACGAGATCAGGAAAGAGGAGGAGAAGCTCGCGGAGGAGAAACCGGTGGACGCCAACAGCGAAATCGTGGCCAACAAAAATCTTACGGATGACGAGATCGCTCAGCTGATCCTCGAGGAGGAGGAGCTCTTGTCCGATAAAGGATTATTGGGGTATATTTCCGTGATTATCAAATTAACTGATGATGAAACTGCGATTAAGGATTCATTCCCTTGCTATACTTTTCATTTAAAGAATACAAGCAAAAGATTTTTTTTCTAAAAATATATATATATAATATATTAATTAAAAATAGTTTAAATATTAAAGAATCTTCAACATTCAGAAAATATTAGGGTATATTTATATTAATTACTTATTGGGAAAAATATTTTGATTAAACCAACAAAATATATATACCAACAAGAATAGTATTTTAATGAAACCGAACGAAATTTCTTCACTAAAATGTCATTCTTTTTAATATATTTTGTTAGTAATCTAAACTTTTCTCTCAGTGCTAAAAATCGGAAACTTTTCGTTTATTTTTATTTGTAAAATTTTCAGCTTACAGTAATAATTAAAATTCTATTTCAAGAATATATAGAACGTAATAAAAATTTTATACTTTTTAGAAGTGTTAAATAAAATATTAATTTTTTCAGTAATAATAATGATAACTTTTATCTTTTCTGTGTCTTTGACGCGATAGAGTAAACTTCAAGAAATTAAGACCGCGAGCCTCGATCCTGAAAGATTCAAAAGTTCTGGAGGAGCTGCAGAATATCGCGATAGCGGAGCCCGAGCGAGTACAAGAATTGAAGCGCACTTCCACTTTCCTGCAAAAGCCGCAACGACCAATACCGAAGGTGAAAAACGAGCCGAAAGTGGAAGAGGACGAAGGAGAAACTTATAAGGTCGTGATTAAGAAACAGGACAAGAAGACAGTAATCGCACGTCTCGTGGAAAAAGGTTTGTTGCCGCCAGGATCAGAGTCAACCATCATCAAGACACCGGAACCACCGGAACCGTCCGAGGTAAAGATGCATGAAACGGAAAATAAACTCGAAGAAAATCATCCCCTTGTGTCCGATTCAAATTCCTTGTGTTCAACCTGTTCTTCCAATAACAATTCACTGTTGCCCCCACATCTTTCGGAATCTGATTCAAATGAATTTTTCACCTCTGAGGATCAACTAGCGCATCGCGAGACACATAAATGCAAATCAGAGCTATGCCATGTTAAGCCGAGTCATTCTCGAAGATACAGTACTACTAGATATGACGAAGTCGGAGCGAGATCGCTGTTTAAGGGTCACTACTTGGAGAATCTCCTTCGCGGTTACACTCGTTCATGTATTCTTCGCGATCGACAAGTCGATGAGTTCGCGAAGACTAAACCGAGAAGTATATACTTGAAGAAGTATGATGATGGCCTCGATAGCTTTTCGTCAAGCGAGATCAAAAGAAGAACGAGCAGATGCGCACGAACACATTATGTAGAAAGGATTCTGCTTCAAAACGTCAGCGCTGTTGTTACACACTTTCGTCCAAAACCAAAAAAAACGCGCGTCTTCGCCTCTAGAATGAAGGGAAGATATCTGGCGACATATCTGAGACGCAAAAGTCTCTGGCTAATGTCCTTGATTACGACATTGTTCCAGTTTTTGTTACAGAGACCAAGCGTCTCCGAGTCATCGAACTTGTCGAAGATTCATGAACGACGTTTGAGTTTCAAGGGTCGCTATCTTAAACACGTTCTTCAGAAGAATGTCGCTCCTGTCCTTGAATGTGTCAAGGAGACGTGCTTCATCGATGATCAATTAAAGATGATTGAAAAGGAAAAAGAAGAACTGAAATCTACCAGGACAAAAGGATATTACATGAAAAAATGTCTCTATCGACCGAATCTGCGTTTGAAATTCGCTTTAATGAATCTTCTTGATTACGTGAAGAACAGTCTTGATAATCTCTTCGCTATCACCAAATCATCAAGAATGAAAAGTACAATGAAAGGTCGATACATCGAGCGGTTGATTCGTAGAAATCTCAAGATTCTTGAATTGTTCGTAGAATACGTTCGTTCCAGAATCTCCAAATGGCTCGAGGATGGTTTGTCGTGCACATCACGAAATGAATTTCTTGTTGCCACTATCAGTACTTCCAATGACATTGCTGATGATTCAATTCCAAATAAACAGGAAACTGATAAAGATGCCTCCGATTTAAAGATCTCCGAATGGCACGAGGACGGTCCAGCCTGTCCATTGCAAAAAGAATCGCCCCTTATCATTAATACTTTCAACAATCCAAATCCGGTCGAAGAAGAAACTATTGAAAATGATCACCAGGTTCTCGAATGCAATAGCAATCCAGTCTTATTTGAAGAAGCCAATGAATGTACCGACTTGGCCAAACTTACAGACGTGGTCCCAGAAGACACTGTTTCAAAATTCTTGCAGTCAGCTGAGAATTACGTTTCCACCGAGGTCTTCCATCGTGGTAGTAGACGACTTTCAAGACCGCGTAAATCTGTCGATGTTATCTCCAAAGAAGATGATGAGATGTTGTCGAAATTCCTACAGTCGGCTGAGGATTATGTTTCCGCCGAAGTCTTCCATCGTGGTAGCAGACGACTTTCAAGACCGCGTAAATCTGTCGATATCACCTCCAAAGAAGATGATGAGACGTTGTCGAAATTCCTACAGTCGGCTGAGGATTATGTTTCCGTCGAGGTCTTCCATCGTGGTAGCAGACGACTCTCAAAATCCCGGAAATCTATCGATATCTCCAAAGAAAATGATAAGGCATTGTCGAAATTTCTACAGTCGGCTGAGGATTACGTTTCCGCCGAGGTCTTCCATCGTGGTAGCAGACGACTCTCGAGATCACACAAACGAGAAGAGCAAGGAGAAGAGGATGTTCTGTCAAATGTCCTCCGCTCGACCAGCGATTACGTCTCCAGCGAGGTGTTCCATCGCGGAAGTAGAAGATTATCAAGATCGTTTAGGAGGGAATCTGTTTCCCTTGCAGCTCCTACTCTGTGGGGCGGTTTGAAGAATATGTACCTCAATCTGCCTTGGTTTTCGTTCAGAATCACCAAGAAAAGTACAAAACATATCGAAGATGGTGAGAAGAAAATTGATTCCGAAATCGAGCTCGACAATCGAAGATTATCATTCGTGCCAACAATTCTCTATCGGGGTATAACGAATCGCATCGGCATCGATTTCACAAAATTTGTGGTTTACGCCTTCATACCTTGTACTTCAATTATCCTTCTGTATATGTACACGGAGAAAATTTTATATTAAGTTTTAATACAATTAAGTTTTAATACAATTTTAAATTACACTTTACTATGTCTTGTATTTTCGATGGACTCTCACAACATGATTCCGACTTAACTTTTACTATGGTAATACTAATTTATCACATAAATAAAGTAATTATTTTGTTAAGCCATATTCTAACATGAAAACAGTTAATTTTTACTATGGTACGCAAACAAAATTTGCTAGGTATATTTGATTTTGTAATAAAAAATTTTTAC